ACTGATTGCATTATGATGTACTGACTTTGGGGTAATATTTGCATCCAGTTCACAGGAATTCGGCAATGGGTCAACACTGCACTAAAAAAACAGTAACAACGTAAACTAGTAACACCAAATACACGATGAACGCAACAGTGAATTACCGGAAATGCCATTAAAAAATATCAAAAGAGAATAAATGAAAATAAACATAATTATACACTGATTATGTTATTGCTGTAGTTATTTATAACGAAAATGTGAAGGGCAGTTAGTGAAATTGGAGAAAACGACAAAAAAAAAGTTATGCTTACTTGAAGAAAGCTGAATTCAATTTTTTAAACTACACATAAGTCTATGCAGATCCACAAGCCAAGTAGGAAGTATGATTATAATATCAGAACTACAGACAGTGCCTGACTGCTTACACATCTCAGTGAAAGTAATTGAATTAAGGCAATACTTGAAAGTCACATGCTTAAGTTAGTGAGCTTGAGTCTGATTTGATGGAAATACTCAGGATCCGCCTGAGTGCTACATCTTGTACGACTAATACAAATGGATTTTACTCCACACTAGTGGCGATAATCAATAGATGATGAATACGACTGATCTTGTTTGTTGACTAATGGCTCAGATATAGTAACCAGTTATTTATTACACTTGACTAGTTTTCGTTTTTATTTAATAAGTATCACATTTCTAAAGTACGAGTTGAAATCGTAAAATAAAAGAACTAACGGGAAATGCTGCCCAAAGTTGATACACATCATATCCATATATCAAATAGGAAACCCCCCGCCCCTGGCAAAAACGTGATACCTGGTCATCAAATATCGTACAAGGAAGGTAGAAGGTAATTTATTCACATATCAGTTTATATTCCGAAGTATAAATGCATATACACTGTTGTAGTAAACTTTTAGTTATATAAACTTGATTATCTAACTAGAAGAATGCCGCCCAGAAAATTTATATAAGCCTATACGACTCAGAACAATAGCCGATGAAATCAGTCCATATAGCTTGTTGAGGCCCTAACTACCAATTTTATTCAACATTATCACTTTGGTTAACGTTACTCTTTTAACATAAAGCCAGCTAACGTGGTGGGTATCTATAGTACAGAATCTAGGAAACTCCGACATATATCCGAAGTCGACAGAGAAACACCTGAAACTTTGTGGTTTTTCTACCTTTAACAACTGTATCTATACAACAGCAGAAGAGAGGGCATTGAAGTACATGAAGTACTCAAGCCCTAGCGAGCCGCTCTGTACTATATGTTGAGCGGTTTTGGAAAAGACAAGTTCATCTTCTGTAATTGTGACAACCATAAGTTAACCACCAACTCATGGGGTCTTATGTGACGTCCAACATAATCGTAAAGACATACTTGTTTAGCAACTTTAATCTCTAAAATAACAATTGCTTATTTAAAGTAGTCTTGAAGGAGATGTGATTAAATTCACTTAGTGTTCAGAAGACTCATCAGTGTTAGTATATCTTAAGCGAACTAAATTTCCTGCAATGAGATTTGGAAATTACGACTTACGAACAAATCTATCGTGCAGTTGAATGAAAAAGGTGTAGATGTTCTCGATAAATATTGTTGTATGCAGATGTACGTTTTGAACATCCCTATTAGGATGCGCAGTTACAGAACTTTGCGACTATTACGTTCAAATGCTACCGTTATGTTAATAAACTCCAACTGATCGAGAGAAGTGGTGACTGTGTGTCAGGATCTAAACGAAGAAATATCTAACCAAGAAACCCGTAGTTTAGGTTTCCCAGGGTTGTCACATTTACATTTCGACGTCTTACAATTTTGAAGCATTAGAGATCTTTCCGTTTAGCATTTAAGTTATACAACAGGGAGCGCTCTGCAATATGTACTACTTGAGCGATTTCTCCTGTGGTTGCAATTATTTATTGTAGACTAGGGCAAACACTTACCGAGGGAGACTGTGCAAGTTATGTCCGATCCCTATTCCCCAACTATGTATGGTACATCATCTTTAAACAACATTCATACGCTTTTTCAAAGTCATTGTAAGTGGCAATGAGCACGTTGACTTATTGCATTTCGAAGTATGTCAATCAGTAACTTAAGATAAAACTGTGGACAGCAAGTCTGAGAATAACTCATAACTACTTCAGAAACTGTCTCAAGGACAGATCCTTCCTTGTAAATTTATAACAGATAGGCATCACTTCAATAGCATCCTATTTCAGACGTACTCGAAGCCCAGGAGTACCCCTCACACCAAGATCGGTGACAAATATGATGGCTTCAACGAAACCAATTCTCAGCATTGTGAAATAAGTGTGGACTAAATGGTTACTGGTTTTGATGAGACTCACGTATTTAGTAAAAAGTATTTACGTATCAGCCTAAGACAAGACTAGTGTAACAAGGCTTAGTATGGATGTGAAGTGAACAAATTACGTGGTGAGTGATAAAAACTAATGAGTCTCACTGTAGATGCATAACAATACCACTTTCCCCACAAGTTAAACGAAAGTACTAGACAGACTGTACTGGATATGCTTGGTCATTTTAAAAATGGAAAAGTGGTATTGATAATCCATGATAAGTGAAGTTGCACATCCCTTTATATTAATAAAATCCCCTGACCAACCAAGTGGCACGAGAAAAATTAGATATAGCTAATAATAGTGGTATGCGTTCGAATGGCTGTTCACAAAGGGAAAGTGAATCTCCTCAACCTACACAAGTTTTCAGCATTGAGTATGACTGTTACGTTTGCTTCACATATGAACAAATTGTGAGGCAGTGACTACTCATGAGAAACTATTTAAAGTGAATGTAAATTTTGTGTTCATTTAGATGCAAATTCTTATTAGGTATAGGAAATATGAGAATTTTATCAGTATACCAGGATGTCAAAGCAACCGGTGAAAACTTCATTTCTATCTTGAGCGGTTCACAGTGAAACGGCAACACTTGCAAGACCCAACAAAAACAACCCATAAGTAAAAAACCTGGATTTCAGAGTGAACTTTCAGACAGTATATCACTAAAAAGCTAATCCAAGAAGTTAAGTACCACGTATCATATTGCATATATGGATAAAAGTTGTTCAAAACATCAAATGATAATAGTTTTCCCTTATGACAAAAAAGCATTCTGACACATGTATTTCAAGATAAAAATATGCTGATTGATTTACTTACTCGGGTTGAAGGCAGTAGGGGAAAGAAAGACTCGGCCATCCTCATTATCAACATTTGATTCCCAGAACTGAACCAAAAAGAATTATGATCAAATTTCAGCACTTACACTGAGGTATCTGAGTTGCTGAGCAGTTGAGGACTGCGCAGGAGCATATGAGTTGGGGACATTGCGCGTGGAATTGATATCCGGACAACTGAGACCAACAGAACTTAAAAGTAAGTCAAGCAGCCGAGGATTTCTATTGATACTAAAGCAGTTTGGCTGAGAGGACATCAAGAGGATTGTATTTAAGGCGAGTTCAATTTCATTGGGAAGTCCTGATATTAGTGATCGTTCTAAGGATGTGTATTCGAAGTGATCCTTCAGGTCGGTACTCAAATTCCAACTCTCTCGTAGGTGATTGGGTATTTCCTCAGCGTTAGAACGCAAAGAATTTCCGTGTGCATTTGGTCGAGATATTTTTATTGTCTGATCGAGATCCTAGGGAAAAGTTAACCATGAGTAACTGAGAAACGTACTTGCATATCGTCATAGTAGATCACAGAATTATCCTGCTCATCAGACACGAAGGAGCCTCTTATCATCATTCTTTGATTCCTCTCGTACAGCTCAAGATAGCGCTGATATATTGTTCGCAATCCATGACCAGCATCTATACAACCTGATGGAAGACCTAGGGCCAAATATACCTCCATCCACTGGTGGGAAACTGTAACCTGATAAAGTGTACTAAGTATTGTTATTTTGACTAACCTGCTTGTGTCCTCCACGGATAGCAACTTCATTATATAACTTCCGTAGGTCGATCAGGTGGCCGGAGACATAAGGAGGTTGCAGGATAACATTTTGTCTGCATTGAGAGAATTGAGAGGATTATAATATTCTAACCTGTTATATCTTGAAAGCTTCTGAAGTTCTGACATAAATTGTCCATGTGTTTTCATGCAAAGCGGCAGCGAACTCATAAGGGAATTTAAGCGGCTCTTGGTTCTGGACATTTTATTTCACAATATGCAGCTGACTGGGTTACATATATGAGAATTCACCGCCAAAGCTTGGATTTAATTTTGCTGACTACATGTAGTACAAATAATGTGGAACTACGGAGGAAGAAACACTCAGGATCTTCAGAGTGACTAGTTCAAGCGCCTAGTATTTAGAGCGTGAAGGCCTGTCAGTGTGCACTTACGCAATCAAAAAGCCTTCCTTTTATGTCCCACTGGTTCATTAATTTACCGGTGAGTATGGGTGTGAGGTTTAGCACGGACAATGCATAATGCCTCACCGATATAGATTGTGGTCACGAAAAATAAAATGGTCTTGTCCGAGAGACAGCAATGATAGTTTATAACAAAAAATTCAAGCACACTGCCAAAAGCATATATAACAGTCGGCCCGAAAAACGTTCATTAAAGATGATCGCAGGACAGACACATAGCGTACAGATTACTCGCGTGCTGTCTATCACACACAGATGGAGGTCAGACAGACACTAGGTCATTGATTGAATGATGCGATAGTAGGAAAGACTATTGGGAGAGAAAAATGAAGATAGAGCCGACCAATCAAAATGCTGTTTGAAACAATAATGGTGGACAGAGAGAAAATGATATCCAACAGAGTCAACAAATTCTGAACAAGCGGAAAACGCGGGAGGAACAAAGTAGGCGAAATTGTTTGAAACTTATTAAAACAAAAACATAAGTGAATTTATTTTGCCAACAAATATTGTATACATATCCAAAATTAATACTTCAGATTGGTGAGAAAGCCGAAAAAATTCCCGTATCTCACCCGCGGGATTACTTTTTAAGCGGTGCACAGAGCGGCGCCCATTTCAAAGTTTTGCGACGTATTCAGTCGTGATTCTTCATTTTCATTTGACAGAACACTTCTGCGTATAAGGTGAGTTTAATTAGGCACACAGTTTAATTTAAACTTGTTGCGTGGAATCTGGTTAAACAATGAAATGTCTTGGCGTCATGTGTTCCACAGATTTTCATTTGATAGACTAGTGACGTAGAACTTCCTAAAAACATGAGTCCGTTTTACCTCACTTGGCAAAGACGATTAAACGTTGCAAATTAAAGAGTAATAGATTGTTAAACTTAGTCGTTGCGGGATTCATCAGCACTGGGTATGCAGCTGTTTCAACATCCGATGATATACTCATTCACACTACTTTATGATAGTTTTTTCCCTATTAGTAGAGGTGGGTAATCAGTTTGACTTCCCCAGCACTTCCGTCTTCTTACAGTAAGGTTTTATTTATTTTTAGGTGTCTGTAGCTGGAAAACCTATGCAAACTTCAGTATCTGCCAGTGTATAACTCATTGTTTTTATAAAATTGTCAAGGTGTTGTAGAAGTGAATGTGTTTACATCCGAGAGAAAAATTGTGCATCTTAGTATAAACTTATTTTCTCAATGTTAAATAACCATTCCAATCACTTGGTACATATCTTGGCGTTCATAGCGTAACAGTTTCGTGATTTTAGTGGGTTTTAATGGTAATGACTCCTAGAAGTGATCTTTTTAATTGCCTTTCTCCATTTTAAGTTCTCCCCATATTCCCAATGTACATGATCATGGACCCTAGCATAAGAAATAATGTTAGTGAAATGGCTTAATCCGATTTAGAATGTCTACGGACATTTTTCTGCAACTTCCGATTTTCTGAGGTGTTTGAGAACATTGACAGCAAACTTGTCTGTGTTTCCGAAGCTATTAAATAATGTTAGGGAAGCAGATAGCTCCGTAAGACTTGTGTAAGTCACTGATTATTTCTGTTTATAAAAACGGAGTGAAGTTCTGGGATAATCATAATGGATTAGCATGGCTGATATAGTATTTAAAGTTCCAGATACAGTAATCATCGTAGGTTGAGTGATGACTATGAGAAAACCTGACAGGCCTTAAGACAGGAAGATAGTGTGTTGGTCTTATCTTTATTACGTGGAAGGCTCTGAAACATGAGCATACTTCCTGGAGTCCAACACTTGCCATATTTAGTGACTTAAAGTCCCCACTCGCCTTCGTAGACTAAATGGTGTTTGGGGAATGTTTTGCTATGGAGTGCCGAAAAATGTGAGATGAAATTGACGGCTACATATGCGTTATACTGGGAAACACTGCTTAACTCAATCTTATAATAGAAAGGCTAACTTAAAAATACTGTAAGTTTAGTATGAAATGACTAAGAAGATTGTAAGATATATTAAATAAAAAACAGTATAATATGGGTTATATTTCGTATTTACGACATCATTTTTGATTCTTTTTAATAGACATTGATGAAATGAATGCACAATGTAAGGCCCAATCGAATGGAGAAACCACATAATGCGAAGTAGCCGTATCATTATGTTATTACCCTGTCGTGTACATCCTTATGTTGCCTGTAGTTAAAACAATGCCGCCCAAATAAGTGAAAGAAGCCTTCTCGTTCAAATTTATTCCGTTGAAAATGATTAGTGCTTGTTGTTATTTGGCTGGCTTCATTGCTAATGTCTTCGCTATGCCCACTGAAAGTGCTGTTTACACTGCTTCTGCCTCACTGTCATTCTACTCCGTCTGATGATGATTTGCTGCTTAGCACCTTGGTCCTCACATAGCTTTATTTTCCTGAATGCAGCTTGTCCATGGAGAGTTTTGGGATCCTGAGCATCTCTTAGTCTGTTCCAGATGACACGATCTAATATTTTGCTTGGTGTGGATAGGAGAATGCTTCCACTCCAGTTAATGCAAAAGGCCGCTTCGTCCTTCTTTGTTATTTTGATAAGATAGCCTTTCTTCCAATAATTAGGTTCCTTTCCTTCCTTGCGATGTTTCTGTAATAGTTGCATGATGATATACGCTGAGGCCTTTGGATCCGTTTTCGGTGCTTCCATAGGAATTCCATCCGGTTCTGTTGCTTTTCGGGTTATCTTTCAGTAGATTTACGTCACTCAAGGCTTCTTCTTTGGTCAGAGTATTAGTGTTGAATGAGAGTTAGTGGCTTTTGGTGGTATATTTGAACGCGTTGTGGTTTGTTCGGTTGAAGAGTCTTTTGGAAGGATCGCCACGTTGTTTCGTTTGCTTTTCCTCTTTGGTAATCAGGCTCCTTTCACTGTCTTCCATTAGCTGCATCTGTGTTGGTCTCTTCTTAGATAGCGACTTAGTTATATGGTATAGTGTTTACTTTGTCTCTTGCCTGGGGCTTGTTCTGCTCCAGTTCCCAGTGTGTCGGGAAATTATTATTCATCTTTCATCACACGTTTCCTCGAACTCAGTTTCTCCGCTCTTCGTACATCCGCTCACCGGTTCATCTTCTGTTTCACCATCCCTTTCGCTTCTATTAGCTTCCGTAGAGAGCCAATCTTTGTCTTCTTTATCCTTCTTCAGACGGTTGCATCGGTTTCATTCAGCCTCACTTGCAAAGAGTTCCAATGTTTTAAACAGTTTTCCCCGGTAATGCTACGTGGGCATCACCAAGGTGTCTTATATTTTGTAAGAGGAATAATAACCGATATTCTAACTAGGCGTTTTCATGATTTATAATGAAAATGAAGAATATAAGACGAGTGTTTCATGTGATTTAATATTTTAGGTTTTTGAATTTGTGCATTGTAAAAGTAAATTAGTAAAGTTCGTAACTATCTTTGTTATAATCTTTTAGTGGCTGCATACATCCAGGTACCCTGCGCTATCTCTTTGGTTTCACTGTGGAGGGAATAAGAAATGGAAGGCACAGAGGTTACCTGCTCACCCCCATCAGTTATCCCTGGTAAGTTTTTTTGAAGAATAAAGGTTAGCTATGTAGTTTCTATGCCTTATAAATAAAGCTACTGAAGGGTTTCAGATGCATGAGTATTTGTGTTAAGTGGGTTCTAGTTTATTTATTGACAGAAAAAATTTGTGTAACCTTGCACAAAAGTATCAGTTCAACTAAACACTCTAAATTACTCAAAACGGCACTTTATAATAGTAAATTGGGTAAATAGAGAAAGATTGAAGTGAATCATCAAGTAAAGATTTTGAAGTTCTGAAAAATGCTAAAGAGTAGACCATTTAGTGGCATATTATAGTCTTCAACCACTTATTCTTAGATTTTTAAAGACCCTAATTAAGCAATCAATGCATTTCCGTTTTTAAAATGGTCAGTCTATAACTTTATGTTCTGGTCGTTCCCAGTGAGGTCCTGCTTCAGCTATTATTACCCGCCGTTAAAGCCAGTGTCTTGGTATGCATCACATGCTACTATTTGTTATTGTTATTATTATTATCCACTTTAGTTCCTGAAGAAATATAGGGCTTCAGCTGCGTTCGGTTCTCCGCTAATTTTTTCACCTGGTTCCACGTCTGCTCACATACTTTCATCTCCTTTTCTCATGATCATCTCCATGTCACCCTCACTGACGACCACATCGCCGCTTCCCATTTGAGTTCTATTTGAGCGATGGCCTGACGTATGATGTTACTTAGTGGTCTTCTCCATTTCCTCCAGCATAATTGTTGCACTGTTGGTTCCTGGTTGGTTCGTTCATTACCAGAGATCCCTGCTGCTGATCTTCTCTGGCCATCTGATCTTGATTACTGAGCGAAGACAGCTGTTGGTAAAGGTCTGTAGTTTGTTCGAAGTGCCCTTCGTGACGAGTCAAGTTTCTGATCCGTATAGTAGCACCGACTTCACATTGGAGTTAAAAATCCAAGTTTTATTTATCATGATGAATGCTGTTAATCTCCACACAGACTTGAGAGTAATGAAAGCTTGCCTTGCTTTGATATCCTCGTCAGTTCCACCTGTAGGTGAAACGATGCTTCCCAGATAGGTAGGCAGGTAGCTAAAGGAAGTCACTTCCTTCAGATTTATCCAATTTATGCTGGCTAATTGTTGTCTGTTGTTGTTGCTCTTGCTGTTGGTCAGGAATCTTCATCATCTACGTCTGTTTTCTCTATCTTCACCTGAAGTCCTATCTTCTCTGAATGCTTGTTCTGCCAACTTGTTGCTTTTGGCTTGCATATCTTCCAGTTTGTGGGAAATCAGATAAATATCATTATCGAAGTCCAGATCCTCCAAGTTTTCTTGTGTCCATTTTATGTCTGTTTTCTCGTTACTCGCTGTCTGTCACACTATCCAGCTCATCGCAATCAGGGCAATCATTGAAGACAGTAAACAGCCAGCTTGTCTTACTCCTGTTCTCACTTCGAAGGATTCCGTGAGTTTCCTTTTGTGGACCACTTAGCATGCAGCATTGTCGTATAGCTGTTGGATGAAGTGTATAGGTGTTGGTAACACCCATAGTAGCGAAGTAGTTTGCAAATCACCTCTCGATCGACGCTGCGCTATCTAAGGCTTTTTCTATGTCGATGAAGTTGAGATAGAGAGCTGACTGCTCTGTTGAATGATGATCCGTAGTGTTGCTATTTGACCGATGCATGACTTGATTTTCCTGAATCCTGTCTGTTCCGGTCGAAGTTTTTCATCCAGGGTGGCGTGTTTGATTCTCTCGAAGATGATTCGGTGTAGTATTTTGCTTGGGATGGACAGGAGCGTAATACCGCACTAATTCTTGCATTGACTTAAGTCTCTTATCTTTGTCAGTTTGAATGAGCAGCCTTTCTTCCAGTTTGCAGGTGTCTTGCCCTCTTTCCACACCTTCATTAGTGGTGTCATCAAGTCTGCTGATGTCTGTTGGTCGATTTTCAATGCGTCTGCTGGGATTCCATCTGGTCCTGCTGCTTTTCCAGCATTTTTATACTCTTCAGGACTTATGTTTTTGTGGGAGGGCTGTTATCCACTGGTAGTTCTGCTTCCGCTAGTGGCTTTATTGGGCGCGTTGTAGGTGGAAGTCGATTTATAAGTCTTTTAAAGTGTTCATCCCAGTGTTTCTTTTGCTTCACCTCTTCGGTAATTGGCTTTCCATTGTGATCGTTCACTGGTTTAATTTGTGTTGAAGTTTTCTAGGATAGGAACCTAGTCGTTTGACAGAGTGTTGCGAGATCTCCTATGCCTGCACTGCAACTTGTTCTGCTTCACTCGGTATGGCTTCATAGTATTTTCTTTTATCTTCCCTGGCACTCTTCTTTAGTTATTTGTTCAGTGTATTGTAGCTTGCATTCAACTCCTATTTTTGTTGTTCATCGATGCACTGGATAATATTTTGTTTCAACACCCTTCTCACTTCTATTAGTCTCCATGTGTCCGAAGTGAGTCACTCTTTGTCCTGTCCCTTCTTTCTGCCTAAAACTCATGCTGGTTTGACTCCACACCACTTTTAGGTTTCAGAACTCACTATTCACTAACTCATGAAATTATTTGGACTATAAGGGAAGAATCATTTTTCAAGGCTGATAGATTAACAAAAGAAGCAGACTTAACTTATGTCACTAGCTAGTAATATGAGTAGCATTCTTTCTCTATTGTTTCATTTCATTGTATATTGTACCATTACAGAGGAAGGTAGGCCCATGATGAGAAAATCTAGGACAATAAAGTGTGGAAGTGTAATTAACATATATGAAATCCAGTGTTTTTCAACTCTGGTCTCTTCGCCAGTGTTGGTTTGTGTCTTCTCCTTTTTCCCTATGTTTGCAGTGAAGATGTGCTTTGTGGCCTTATCCTTCAGGTTTTGAGTATTGAACTTGGCTTGTGGTCTATCTTCAGCTCGTGTTTCTTTGAAAGCTTTTAATTTGATTTTGAGTGTTCGTTGTACGAGACAATGGTCTGAGCCAACGTCTGCTCCGCTTCTTACTTTTGTGTCCAGTAAGCTGCGTCTCCACTTCCTTGAGGAGCATTGAGATGAAACCGATTTGGTTTTTGGTTCGCCCGTCTGGTGGCACCCATGTAACCTTGTGGATATCCTTGTGCTTGTATATGCTTCGAGCAGTCACTAGTTCATTGAAGACACAGAAGTCGGCGAAGAGTTCTCCATTTTCATTCATTTCTCCGAGAGCTTCTCTACCCATGGTAAGTTTTCTTCCTGTGTTATCTGGTCATAGTTTGGCGTTCATGTCTCCCACTAGGAATTTAATGTCACCGACTGGAGTATTGTCCATTGTTCCCTGTAGTTGTCTGTAGAATTCTTCTTTCTTTTCGAGGTCTGCGTTATTTGTGAGTGCATAGAATAGCACTGTATAACTGACAGTGTCCTTCCTTTGGAGTTGAATTTGGCGGTCATTATCCTGGGCGAAATCGCCTACGATCGCATCAGAGCCTTCGCTTCCGTTTGTGACTTCATGATAGTCAAACCCTCGGTGTGCATGTTTTTGTCTTCTGGGTGACCGGAGTAGATCACTTACTCTCCCGTTGAGAATTTGGAGAGTCCACTTCCATTTCATTTGCTTTCGCATATATCCAGTACCTCAATACCATATCTCTTCATCTCACTTACGATCTGGGCAGCTTTGCGAGTCAAATACATATTGCGGACGTTCCATGTCTCCGCGTATATTTCTTTTGTTTCAAGGAGACTCATCGTACTGGAGTTTCTGTAGGAGTTTTGTGTACAAAGTCGGGTTGCTGCATATATATTCACTCGATGTGTTTAGCAGTAACAAGTTGGCAAATAGGTAGTAATAGTCAACAGCATTATATCCACAGGATCAGTGTTCGAATGTATACCAGTTACAATAAATTCTACGACTCCCTGACCAGAAACACCAGAGAAATGAGTTTTTTTTATTAACGAAGGAAATGTTACATGCTACAGCCACCTTAATTCATGAATCCTAACAAACTAATCACGTAGAGCGTCACACGTAACCTCATTTATTACTTGGTTTATTTTTTCAACCAACTAAAGCAAATAAACCAAGGACCGTGCAGTAAAATGTTTATATGTCTCCTTCCTTCGGTGGTAATATCAGAAAGCTGCGAAGTTAAACAAAACGCACTTCTACTCAGTATATATGCCGTCTAGTCGCCTCTTGGAGACCACATCCTATTGGGGTTGGTACATGTCGACGATTGGAAAACCAGTTTTTTAATGCTCGTCAGTAGTTAGTTGATTATGTGCTTTGCTACCTGGTCAATACATCTAACCATTTACATTCCTATCCTTAAACTAAGAATCGGCTAGACTTCCTGTAGCACTATCTTGCATTCACTATGAACTGAATGTTTGAAGTATGTATTCAGATTTTCACTCCCTATGTTAAAAGGACTATGTTGCCAACATCTTCACATAAAGTGAATACTTCGTTTGTGTAATATAAATCAAGAAAATCTTTTCTTGTTCTCTAAACTCGTGTTATAATACTGGCATGTATTAAATCATCATTGTGTACCTTTTTATACACCCTTTTGCCTTCTGTTTAATTTTTGGGTGTAAAGATTTGGGTATCATGACGACGCCTTCTGTTTGTGTCCATTATTATTCCCTAACACATCTATGTTAACTTTTTAACTGAAGGTCTAAGTGTTTTAGACTTATATGTGATTATGTAGTTTGTGCGTCGGTGGCACAGCAGTAGAATGCTCTCCAACCACGGATTTGGTCCGGGGTTCGATCCCCTGCCACCGATGCACTCCCCAAACCTCGCTAAACCACTTATAAGACTGTTAAAGAGGGAAGGTTGGGCATGAGGCTAGCAACCGTATCCCGTACCTAAACTTCAAGCCTCTAGCTTGAAGCCTTATGTTCCACTGGGAACTTAAGGGAATAAAAACAAAAGATTAATAAATATATAGTTTGGGTGATTTTATTAATAAATAAAACGTATGTGAACAATAAAACTGCTTCTTGTAATATATGTAAGTATGCATTTTTCTATTTAGTCTTGTCACTCGTGAAGTCAGCTCAACAACAACATGGCTTGCGTCATGGTGACTACCAACGCTATCATCAATATATTTCCCGCAAACTTAGGCGAATGAGAAAATCACTGCATTTTCAACAGGTAAGTGAAATTATACTCTGTTATGTTCATTTCTTTCTTAATTAGGGCAATCGATCAAAAGTTACCCCAAAGAAGATAACACCAGATATTGTAACTGATCCACGTTTCATTATTTTGGCAGTTTTTGAAATCGAACGATCATGGGCATATGCTATGCAACTGAAAGCTGAATCTGCCACAGAAATTCGGAAACGTTTTCAAATGTGTTCTCGTCTTCGTAAAGCAGTTGCACGTGCTGAGTTTTTGTGTAGTATGGAAGATGATTTATCACTATTAGACGCACAAACCAAACTTGAATTGCGTGCCTACAGGCAATGGATTCGTGGAATTTTATTTTTTGAATTGCAGGTATTTGGGTACTTTTCAATATTTTCAAACTTGCTACATCAATATAGACTAAAACACACAAATGCATCATCATTACCTTTACTGATAAAAATAAACAACATAAAACAAAAATTGATCTTCATTTTATGAATGGCTCACAAATTTGAATTTTTTCATTATATAAAAGCTGAACAAATTTCGTCGGTAGCCGAAATCAGTTTGTAAACTGTTAAAAGGCAAATAGTGCTGTTCCGTTAACTTAACCTAAAATGTTTATTTGATAAGGTAGAAAAAGTTGCTGCGGTTATGTCTCATCCAACAGGGCACTGCTGAGTTTTACTAAAATTGGTTGAGTGAATCTATGAGATGATGAAAATTGCTAAAGAGGATTTCGAAATTTCTTTAAATTTGCTGCAATGAATAAAAATAAAGACGTGTTGCTCGTAGAGGGGGGGGATAATATGGTTGAATCTGAACAAGTCCTTTTTGTTTAGGCGCTTTACTTATAGCTAGTAAAACACATGTTCGGAAATCACCTCACCCTACTCAGATACAGACAGCCAGGTAGTATTATCAGCCCTCACAAGAAGTGTGACCCTCTACCGATTGCTAATAGGTGATTAGCAATGATTTTATTATATATATATATATATATATATATATATATATAAACCATATTTTGTGAAATTTATGTACCTTTAATGTTATATACTTGAAATATTTAAGCAGTTGTATTTCCTAAAATTTTCACTCTTTTTTTAATCACACCTTACTTATTACTCATCATTTATCTAGAATTGGGCCACAGCCAAAGAGCATCTGGAGTCAGCTCAAGCTATCTATGATGTCTTACTTCAAATGGTTGATGAAGACAGTCGAAGTGTTTATAAATCTCGCATTGATGATCTTCTGCCTCAAATTCGATACTGTGCTCATTCAATCGGAGATGAGACAGCAGCCGACGATTTACAGCGAATGCGTAATCAAGCATCTGATGGTCTAACGCTTTTATCAGAGCTTCAATTAGATCAACTTCTTAGTCAAGCTCGAGCTAGACAGGCTAGCCAAGTTAGTGAGGTAGATTGGTTGGGAACTATAATTCCAGTAAAATCAGAAAAGGCAAAAATTGCAATCTTAACTGTAAAGGTACGTTAAACATTTGTACATTTATTATAAACTAAGAATACGTAGTCCTGTCGTTCATTATCTATCTAAACTTACTGTGACGGTATGTTTTTTCTTTTCCAGGAATCTGAATCAGAATTGATAAAAGCAGAAACACCTTCAGCGAAATTGGCTATTTACGAATCAGTTTTGAAATCGTGTGTTGAAGCGATTACATCTGTCAGAGATGAGTTACGTACTGCAGTGGCAGCTGAACCATCTGTTACTGGAGATAAACACAAAGCAGCTATGGTGGCTTCCACTAAATCTGGTCAGAAATTAGGCTCCGAAAAGGTAAAGTGATGCGTAACTTTTTGAGCCCATATTAAAACCGCTTGTAGACACTTTATGCTTGAGTTTGAATGAACCTAGTGCAAATAAAACTGATCCTTCTAACTTTGTGATTTCAAATGTGAAAAATGTTGCAGTTATGTTAGAAAAAAGTTGCTTATTTATAAGATTTAGGCGTATGGGAATTAACCACCTCATGGTGACATGGCTCAAAACCGTTCTCAGTGGCGCAGATGCATCCACTCCCTGTGACTTATGATCTTCAATGAAACTGTTTTGTATTTCTTCATTACTCCTTTGTCTCACACCTCTGCTCACTGTTTCTATTATGCTTTTCTTGTACTTTCTTCTCTTGCTTCGCGTGCTACACGGAATGTGGCGACTTGAACTTCCGCACATTTGTGCAAAGTTCTATGTCGAAAACAGACAGACAGAACCACCTCATAATTTAGTTTGCTATTATTTATGCTAAAACTTATAATAATTCTCAGCAACTGAGTTAGAATTAGGTGGAGAACTAACAGCTAAAAGTCCCACAAAATCAATACTTGAAAATTAATGTGATGCTCACTAGCGACTGGCCCTATTCAGGTAGTTAACCTGGGGTTCTAGTGGGAACCGTGACCAATAGCGTACAGCAGATCGAAGACGAGGCAGTAACTCATCGAAAAAGACATTGCAAAATGGTCGCACTATGTTGTGAATTGGCAGAATTTTTTTTTGATTTAAAGCTTGATTCCACACTGTATTTTTGGTACAAGTATGGAATTTTCAGCATGGATATCGGTAGCCCAAATTTTGCACGCCGACCATAGATATCAGGTGTGCGCCGGCGTGGGCTCGAACCCCGGACCATGTGCATGGTCGGCGAGAGTCCTAACCACTGTGCCACCAACGCACCATTGGATCGAGCCCCAGTGGCTCAATGGTCTACGAGCTTGCGTTGTAACCAGAAGGCCTTGGTTTCGAACCCCTGTGGGTGCGTACTTATGAAAAGTCATAAACTCGGACGAAACAGCTGTCCAGTACTCCTTGCAGGTTTTTCAGTGGCTCTCTAACTGATGTCAGCTCATGATGAAATCCTCCATGCAATCAAACAAAATTCCTACAAAACCAATACTTGAAAAGTCCAATTGTTCAGGATGGTGAATCACATCTTCATCATTGTAATTGCTTATTATTCCTTGTGTTAACTAAAAATAGGAAATTTCGACTTTTTGACAGTAAACCTGCAAGATTAAATCTATTCCATGTTCATTTTATGCTCTTTATCACCTCTATCCTTGTGTCTATGGTTTTGGAAAAGTAAAGCCTTTGCATATAGGAAGTGCTTCAGTGGACAGTTTCTATGTGAGTGTACTGATTCTATAGATATTAAAGCTTCGGTATGCAGCAACACTTTTCTTAATATCACAAGGGTAAATACATTGATTATTTTTAATATCTGTACTTTTAACTTCAGGTTTCACGGCTTCAGATGTTATATACTTATTTACAATATTTAAAATTAAGTAAAACAGTCGATCGAACTCTTCTGCATATTGAAGCCACTATTGTTGGGTTAGCTGAAGGAACTCAGAAAAGGAATAATCTTGCTACAAGTGCTTATTCTAAACCACAAGAACTCTCTCGTCTATACGATACTGTGGTACAGAATTTTCAGGAGATTATTTCTCTACCGTGTTTAATTCAAGAACATAATGGTTTAAAGGATTTATTATACGCAAAAATGTTATCCAATCGTAGTTATCGGTAAGTTGAGAATAACTTTGATTGGTTGTAGCTATCAGAGCAAGCAACTTGTCCAGTGTTAATATTATTCATTCAATCGACTACATCTGTACACTAGGAATTTAATCAGTCAATGATAACTTATCCTACTTCTTGGGTTACATTTGACAGTTAAGTTTAACAGTTATGAGAGACTGTCGAGTGAGACTGTGGATTGATATAAAAGTCGATTACAATTGAAGGGTAGAACTGTTTTTTTTTTAATTAACGGACTAGATAATATTGTACCGGTATCAGTAGCGCACGCCACAGTATGAAGAAGTTCACGTGGGATTTTAGTGAAGACTTTGTCTTCTGCAGAAATTACCTACGACTAGTTTGAAAAATAATGAGTTGGCCACCTGTAAACGATTCTACTAGTAATTCATACAAGAAAATAAGATTCAGCCGGGAAACGACGTCTAGATTTTGTACAAAATCGTATCACAGCACCAGTATCTTCATCTAGCATCGGTCTGTCTGTCTGTTTTCGACATAGAACTTTGCACATATGTGCGGGAGTTCAAGTCGCCACTCTTCCTTCATGTAGCACACAAAGAAAGAGAAGAAAATAGATGAAACGCATAATAGAGACAGTAAACACAGGTGCGAGACAAAGATATAGTAATAACGAAGAACAATATAGTTTCATTGGAAATCATAGGTCACGAGGAGTGGATGCATCTGCGCCATTGAGAACGATCACTTTGAACCATATCACCAATTGGTTGCAACCATTGGTTTTTACCGTCCCAAGGACCCCAACCAGCGAAGAAGTCTACACCTTCCTACGTGACTGGCTTAAACTAACTGTTGTGGAATTCATTGACTGGTGCCATGTTTTGGTTTGACCGCCGCTACATTTGTCTTTTCCAGCCTGACTAATCCTATGTCAGCTAACATTGCCCATTGTCGAGGAAGGCGATAACTAGACATTCATTCGTAACACATGTCCTAACCATCTCAGTAGATGTAGCTTCGCAGTCTCGTCGATTGATTTCCTCTCCTTACCTAGCACTCGACCGATGCCTAACCTCAATATTGCTCACCTTATTATACCACTTCACACGAGAGATAGAGAGCGGGCACGTATGGTCAAAGACAGCTAGCTAAGCTTTCCATGTCTTCCTCTCTCAATGGCCAGGTCTCACAGCCATAAAGGAGGACGGAGCGGACTGATGAGCAGTACACCCGCCCTTTGGTCGATAGCCAGGTATCACTTCTACTACGCCAGAGACGGTGTAAACGGGCATATGTGAAACGAGCCCTCCGTATCCGGGCTGAAATTTTGTCAGAGATCAACCCATTAGATTTGATGGTACTTCCCAAGTAATTAAAGCGGTCAACGTGCTGTACCACTTCACTTCCTATTTCTAAACTAGGAGTCAGCGTAGTCCAGTCCTTTGACATTATCTTGCATTTGGCAGGAGCGAATCGCATGCTAAACATTCATAGATTGCAGCACAAGGTGTTCAGAAGACTGCATTTTGTCAGCGTCTTCAACTAGCAGAGATGACTATGTCGTCTGCATATTCAAAGTCAACGAGATTATTCATTGGTAGCAAATCAATCACTGTGTCTCTGAAGTCAGTTAGGGTTAAGTCCATTAGTACGTCTATGATGAAATTGAATAGAAGTGGGGATAATGGGCATCCTTGACAGACACCACTAGTCGTTACCATTTAAGATGACAACTCGACATAAGCTCACACCTGGCTGACTGCATGAGTTCGAGTAGAGTGCCTTGGTCAGTGCAATGCATTTTCTCGGCATTTCCTTTACAGCCAAGCATCGCCAGAGGTAAAAAACATTTGGTAAATGAGCTATATAACTCATTTCCTCGGAGACAATTCTGAGTGCTATCTATAGGCTGGTGTGGAAAGCTTCGCGAAGAGAATCAACAGTGTGTATATTAGGACATTCACGATGTAGCACTTAAACACGTCTCTTTTCTGTCTTCACATGGGTTATAATTTTGTTACTTTAAGCATTCTCCATAATGTTCTCGGTAGAATAGTATAGTTTCAGAAGAATTTCTAATATGTTCATTCTTTGAATTGTTTATAATAGAGCTTTTCAGGCATCTTAGGATTGAACTGAATATATTCTCATATTTTGTGTTTTTCTCATAAGTTACTAATGCCTTGAAAAAATCGGTTTGTGTCAGAGTTTTAATAGTTTTAGTTATGTCAAATCTTATCTTAGGTTGCTCTTTGTTACCTTTTCTAGATTACCAGATGCAATAATATATTGTGTAGATGGAGTTGTGTGGTACAAATGCCGGTAACATTCACAACAAACAATGAAAATGGCGATTAAACCTGCTTGTGACGGATCGCTAAAATCCATTAGATTTCCCCGATTTCCATGCAAAGCCCGTGCATTCTTTCTGGAAGATAGCGTAATCTCTCAGGTATATGATGAGATGGTGTATGAAGCCTTGTGGTCAGAATGTGCGTGTGAGATGGAATCAGCAGTTGTATCTGACAGTAATTGCAAGCTATTCCAGCTTATCCGAGCCACCGGCAGCGAAAAGCACGTCATGCCAACGAATTACCTAGAAGGATGCCTGAAATGCTTGGCATAGGGCATTGGGAAAAAGTTTGGCTGGTCCCGCAGTGCTCATGCTTAATATTTCCAATCATGGCTCTTCATGGTTGGTTAATGCCTATTCGTCTTTCATAGCGCAGGTCCGAAAAAAGCTCCAAGTGCTAAACTTCCATAAGGTACCCGCTCAGATCAATTTCCCTCCGACTCTTTATAGAGATTTTACTAAGGGAGTTAACTAGATTTTTCGGAAAATTATGGGAGAATGGGAGTATTCTGTCAATATCGAATGAAGCTATTACAACGCCTATTTTTGTCATGGGCCTACATGGTGCATATGGCGATCATGAGGGTATCAGCTTGTCATAGTTACGATTAAAATATTGACTGCTGTCATGTTCCTCAGACTTAGTGAAAGAAATTGGTTGGCAAAAGTCAGACGGCTTTCTTTTTGGACGTGGATGTATTGATCATGATGATCACTCTTCGTTATGTGGTAGGTAATCATGACACGTTTTGGAGACCCAACGGTAATTGTATTTCTTGACATTGGAGCCACCTTCGATTCGTTGGACAACTATTGCTTGAAATTTTTGTTATAGAGAGGTGTTCCTGAGGAGTTTGTCAACACTCTGAAAATCTCATTCAAAGATACCTCAGGTAGAGTAAGAGCATACAATCGGCTATCACCAATGTTCTCAACCAACATTGAGTTTGGACAGAGTCGCCTAATCTCACCGCTTTTCTTCATCTCTGCCATCGATGACATTCTAAAGAATGCGAATAGTGGTGGTGTAGATCTGTTGTCCATAAGAAGACTTTTTGACCTCCGGAGTGAAACTGATGTAATGCGATAACATATGGGCTGTTCAAGCGGCACTTAATCAATTGTCGATCACTGTCTTTGAGTATGGAGGTTTTTTCTCCATTTAAGTACAACGTTAATGTAATTGTAGAAGTTGGACACTATGGGAAAATGTGATTCGATATTCAATAAGTTTATGTCAAATATCACACAGTGATGTATGTGTAAAACTTGGGCATCACACAGTAATGCAATATTGATAACTGGATCTAGTTATTAACCCTGCATCACTGTGATATTTGAAATAAACTTATCTAAGTAAGTGCAATGTATTGTTGCAAGGTTGACAGGAGCCTTTACCTGCACTCATCCTCGCAAGTTAACCTCTAGTACTAGTCGACAAGTTCGTGTATCTAGGTAGCTGTGTGAATGTTTGTAGTGGTGTGACGGATCCCACCTCTATGTAGTAAAAGTTACTACTGCATACGCCAAGCTAATTCACCTTGGGTGCTGTCTCGACTTTAACATTTCTGCCAGAGTTTGGGTGTGCAGTGCCTCGGTGAGCAGTCTTGGTTTACTCCTAGAATATCTGGTCTTTCGTAGTCAGATATGTGTGGCTATCCTGTGTGTATAACTATCTGCGCTTCATAGAATTGCTTTCATCCAGTGGCATCATATGAGAAGTTCGGAGGCGCTGAAGCGTGTTTGGATATGGTGGGAATGGTCTAATAAGTTTCAATTTCTCGGACATGTGTTACAAAGACATCCTAAGTGCGCTCTTATACGGTTCACTGTTTTAGATGCACCGGGACCGGGTGGAAAAGCGATGTGTGTGTGTGTGTGTGTGGAGGAGGGTTGATTAGCGTATGATAGGGTGTTTTGGTGCATCACTACTCCCTTAGAGTTGTCTGAGGACAAATCCAAATCAGCGGCTCGATATATTAGGACACATATCTCAACGTCTAAATTAGTAGTAAATACTCTGCAATTTCCTCTTTGGTTTGTTTTCGAAAGTAATACGAATTTATGAACCCTGCGTAAAATGCCCTTGCGAAGTATGTTTGGCTGTCTTCGCGATGCTGTTTCTTTTCCGTATATTGTGTTTTATTGCTTTTCTATACCAAGTTTTTTATTTAAATAATAATAATAATTTTTATAGGCACTGGACTTGATGTTTCGTTTTTGTTTCTTTCTCTTGAAGGTGTTATTACCTTGCTCTTGCTTACAACTGTAGTAAAAAATACACTGAATGTTCCGCCCTTCTTATGAGGGCAAAGCACCACGCTGAAAAGGCAATCACTTCACTTGATACTTCAACTTCAACATGGACCAAATCAGAAGAGGCAGTTGCACCTGGTCCTGATCCTGATTGTCTGGCAAAATCCCTTCGTTCCCTTATACTACAAGCGGAGTCAGAAGATTTTACTTGCAAGGCTGCCTCAATGCTTGATGCAGGAGAAGAAACTGGAACAGTTTCCGTCACGTCTCTTACACCTACTGCAGCAGGAGCAGATGTTTCACAAAAGGTGAGTATTTCCAAGTATAGTACTTGTTTAAATACACTGCGTCTTGGTTGATTTGACCTGAAAAAGATTCTTTAACTAACCCAGATTACCTTCCTAATTATTTATAGAAATGAGTGTAATTGTGTTTCCGCTATCGCTATCCTGAGCTAAGTTGGAAGATTTTAGTCGATTGTATTATGTCATCTAACTTACTCAATCTTAATTTAGTTGCTGTCTAATTAACCTTGTTTCTATATGAGATCACTCTTGTATTACCTGATTAATTATCTAAACTTGACGTACCTCATGTACTATCGACCAAAGGGCGGGTGTACTGCTCATCAGTCCGCTCCGTCCTCCTTTATGGCTGTGAGACCTGGCCATTGAGAGAGGAAGACATGGAAAGCTTAGCTAGCTGTCTTTGACCATACGTGCCCGCTCTCTATCTCTCGTGTGAAGTGGTATAATAAGGTGAGCAATATTGAGGTTAGGCATCGGTCGAGTGCTAGGTAAGGAGAGGAAATCAATCGACGAGACTGCGAAGCTACATCTACTGAGATGGTTAGGACATGTGTTACGAATGAATGTCTAGTTATCGCCTTCCTCGACAATGGGCAATGTTAGCTGACATAGGATTAGTCAGGCTGGAAAAGACAAATGTAGCGGCGGTCAAACCAAAACATGGCACCAGTCAATGAATTCCACAACAGTTAGTTTAAGCCAGTCACGTAGGAAGGTGTAGACTTCTTCGCTGGTTGGGGTCCTTGGGACGGTAAAAACCAATGGTTGCAACCAATTGGTGATATGGTTCAAAGTGATCGTTCTCAATGGCGCAGATGCATCCACTCCTCGTGACCTATGATTTCCAATGAAACTATATTGTTCTTCGTTATTACTATATCTTTGTCTCGCACCTGTGTTTACTGTCTCTATTATGCGTTTCATCTATTTTCTTCTCTTTCTTTGTGTGCTACATGAAGGAAGAGTGGCGACTTGAACTCCCGCACATATGTGCAAAGTTCTATGTCGAAAACAGACAGACCTCATGTACACACATACACACTAATTGTATATAAATGCGATTGTACAGCTATGTGAATGAATTAACGGAAAAGAGTTTTTTCTCTGAACGTCTTCTCTTCTTCATACTTGTGTTTTGTTGTCAGAATCTTAGCACTACTTGAAGGGTCTTATCATATTCTGTTTTCTCAGCGCATGATTATTGATTGTCATCAGTTCGTTGTCTAATCGCATTTAGAGTATACTTTGGTTGGAGAATACTACTCATCTCACATTGGCATCAGATGAACTTCGTTCAGCAAAACTTAAGGTTTTCTGTGATACATTAGTAAAAATCGTTCACTTTTACTAGTAGTAAAAGAAAAAATCATATTATGCGCTTTATATGGCAAACTGGTTATATAATTGCTCTCAAGATCATTGCAATCAACTGTAAGTGTAACTTATTCAACTTTCAAAGTGAAGCATTTGTTTAATAAACCAACACTGGGGCATTTGTAAGCCTTCCCTTAATGTGTCGTATGACTGAAACATGCAGCAATTGCATCTTTTCATTTTCATAAATATATATTCAACAAACTTCATTTCACAAATCAAGGTGATTTTAACATTTTCCTCTCTGACACTGACAACTTAGGTGTTTTTATTCTGTCAAATTTGAGTTACCTTAGAATAGTTTTGTCAAGCGATCGCAGTGTTTGAGACTTACTGGTATTTTTTAATTTTTTTAAGTTCCCAGTGGAATATGGGGCTTCAAATTAGAGACTTGAAGTTTCGGTTGCAGTGGTGTTTATTTTTAGGAAATGGGGTTGCTGCAATCGTGCCCAACCTTCCCTCTTTACCAGTCTAACTAATGGCTTAACGAGGTAAAGGAGTGCACCGGTGGCCGGGGATCGAACCCTGAACCACATGCGTGGTTGGAGAGCATTCTTTCGCTGTGCCACCGAAGCCTTTTTATCGGTATACCAAATATTAATTATTCTAAAATAGTCAGTCAATAGGTATTATATTTATTTAAAGTTGATTTTATAACTTTATTGTCTTCTCATTATACTTTTAATTTTTAATCAGGTTCTGATTGATCGTTTGGATGCTTATGCGGATGACAAAAGTGTGGAGAAATCGTTCAGTAATTTTGTATATCCCTTTGTTCAATTGCCTCCTAAATTCTGTCCTGTTCCTGTGAAGCCAATCTTCTTCGATCTAGCTTTAAATCATATTAATTTCCCATCTTTAGATGATAAAATAGGCTTGAAGGCTAACGCATCTTCCAAGTCTTCTGGTTTGACAGATCTCATGCGTGGATGGTTATGGCGTGGTTCAGAGCCGACGGGACCATAAGCGTCTGGTGTTGTGATATAACTTCAATAGTACATGTGATCAACCTACCTTTTGTCTTTATAGAAATATATTGGTAATAAACTTTGATTTATGTATCTCAAGGCTTCAAGGGTTTATCTTTTTGACTACTTCTCATTCATCAGGTGATCATGAAAATCGTGTTCAAATATAATGACTTTTAGGAGCAGAACTGTCTTCTTTATAGTTTACCTATTCATAGGGGAGAGGGTGTTGTGATGCACAGCCAATTTTCGGAGGTCGCAGGGGGGAAGAAACACAACCTAAGATGTATGGCTCTAGTGATGTTGTGAATCTGCTAATAAGTTACGTAGAACAAGAACAAATAGAAAAAGCAACTTTTTCGGATAAAGTGATCTCCAAACTTTACAATTATAAATCTACTAATGTTAATATACCATAGCCAGTAAAAGTATATTAAAATTATATCAGAAACCGTATTGTAGTACTAGATGCGATAATAGTCGTTCAAAAACGCATAACATGTGTTGTAAGTACAAATATGAGCTTAAGTAGTTGAATGATATAATCGTGAATTCATAAGAAGTAAAAGTACACATTTCAGGGAGTCATCCCTTGAATCTGTATCCAGCGTAACCCATTTTTGTTGTTGTTTATTTCTTTGTATTATTCATATATCACCCCCTACAACGAGAAACTGTAATATATCTCAGTTGTGTTTGGTATTTGCGCAACATCTTATGAACAGTGTAACGACATGTAATTGTAGTAGGAAACAGTTTTCTTCCTCCTCTACGCCTTTAAGTGATATGCCGATGTGGACATCAGCCACTGTGAAATTGAATTGGCGTCACGTTTATGATTATAATATTGTCCACATGTTTTTATTATTCTTAGATGTTTTGATTAATCATTGGCCAAGTGGCTATGTAAAAACTATTATTTACAGAAAGTTAACATGGGCTTGGGCTTGGTAGTATCCCAGTTAGCATAGTTTAGTCTAGTACAGAAGAGTCCTGACGAGGAGCCTATCCATGATAGGTTTGAATGAATATGTCTGATACGCTTTTAGGGATGCTAAAAGAACAACAGACTGAAAACGACCTACTGTCCAGTCTGCCTCGAAGAAAGAATATATATATCTATCAAGCTGCCCTACATAGTGATCACATATTTTATTTATCAGTTTGTGGAAGCTTTAGGTGTTAGGAACGTAAAGTCACCTCTTTTTGTTTACAAACAACGTAGGTTATCATTACTATTATTGTTATATCCTTTGATTCCTAGAGGAACATAGGGCTTCAGCTGCGCACCTCCATTGCCTTCTGTTTTCTGACAACTTTTTCACCCCGCTCCAAGTCTGCCCACATGCTTTCATCTCCTCTTCACATGACCTCCTCCAAGTCACCCTTGCACTGACAACCAACTCGCCGCCTCCCTTTCGGGTTCCACTCGAGGGCTTGTCTAGTGATGTCACTTGATGGTTTCCTCAGAGTATGGCCAATCCATCTCCATTTCTTCTGCCTATTTGTTTCACAATCGGTTCCTGGTTGGTTCGCTCATTGCCAGAGATCCCTGTTGCTGATCTTTTCTGGCCGGCCATCTGATCTTGAGTATTGAGCGAAGACAGCTGTTAATGAAGGTTTGAAGTTTGTTTGAGATGCTCTTTACGACACTCTGGCCAAGTCTCTGATCGGTATAGCAGCACTGACTTAACATTGGAGTTGAAAATCCGGATCTTATTTTTGATGATGAGTGCTGTTGACTTCCACACAGACTTAAGAGTAACGAAAGCTTGCCTTGCTTTTCCGATTCTGGTTTTGATATCTTCGTCAGTTCCGTCCGCCTGTAGTTGAAACGATACTTCCCATGTTGGTAGGTAAAGGAGGTTGTTTCTTTCAGGTTCCTCCCATTTATACTGGCTGATTGTTGTCTGTTGTTGTTGCTGTTGATGTTGGCCAGGAATCTTCATCACCTATCTATGTTCACTTGAAGACCTATCTTCTCTGGATGCTTGTTCTGCCAACTTGTTACTTTTCACTTGCATATCTTCCAGTTAGTGGGAAATCAGACATATATCATCATCGGCGAAGTGCAGATCCTCCAAGTCTTTTTGTGTGAGTCCATTTTATGCCTGTTTCCTCATTGCCCTTTGTCTGTCGCATTATCCAATCAATTGCAATCAGGAAAATCATTGGTGATAGTAGACAGCCTTGTCTCACTCCCGTCCTCACTTCGAAGGCTTCCGTAAGTTTCCCGTTGTGGATTGGTTGCCATGCCGCATTGTCGTATAACTGTTGGGTGAGATGTATAATTGTCGATGGGACCCCGTAGTAGCGAAGTAGTTTCCAAATGACCTCTCGGTCGACGCTGTCGAAGGCCTTTTCAAAGTCGATGAAGTTGAGATAGGGAGGTGACTGCCATTCCAAGCTTTATTCAATGATGATCCGTAGAGTGGCGATTTGATCAATACATGATTTGTTTCTCCTGAATCCGGCCTGTTCCGGACGAAGTTTTTCATCCAGGGTGGCTTGTTTGATTCTCTCCAGGATGATGCAGCTTAGTATTTTGCTTGGAATAGACAAGAGCATAACTCCGCGCCAGTTTTTGCATTGACTTAAGTCTCCTTTCTTTGGTAGTTTGAATAAGTATCCTTTCTTCCAATCCTCGGGTACTTTGCCCTCTTTCCACACCTTCTCCAGTAGTGGTGTCATCAAGTCCGCTGTTGTCTCTGGGTCCATTTTCAATGCTTCTGATTGGTTTCTTTTATTTACAGCTTGATTCCACACTGTATTTTTAGTACAAGTATGGAATTTTCAGCATTTTCCATCTGGTCCTGCTGCTTTTCCAGCTTTTAGCATCTTGATTGCATTCGGGACTTCTGATTTCGTCGGGGGGGGGGGATCGATGTTCACTAGTAGTTCTGCTTCCATTGTTGGGCGCGTTGTAGGTGACGGTCGATTGAGAAGTATTTTGACGTGTTCAGCCCAGTGTTTTCTTTGTTCCACCTCTTTGGTGATTGACTTTCCATTGTGTATCGAACTTTTGCCCGATAGGTGCCTAGTTGTTTGGTAGAGTGTGGCGAGGTCTCCTTTGCCTGTAGCTTGTTCTGCTTCACTTCCCATGGTTTCATAATATTTTCTTTTGTCTTCCCTGGCACTCTTGTTTAGTCTTTTGTCCAGTGTATTGTGGCTTGCATTCAACTCCTGTTTTTGTTGCTCGTCAGTGCACTGGATAATCTTTTGTTTCACTGTCCTTCTCTCTTCTATTAGTTTCCAAGTGTCCGTAGTGAGCCACTGTTTGTCCTGTCTCTTCTTTTTGCCTAGAACTTCCGTGCAGGTTTGACTCCACACCGTTTTCAAGTTGTCCCTGTGCTTTTCGACGCCGACCTTTACGCTGGTGTTGATTTGTGTCTCGACTTTGTCCTTCATGCTTGCAATGAAGACGTCCTTTGTATCTTGGTCCTTCAGTTTTTGAGTGTTGAACTTGGCTTGTGGTCTATCTGGAGCTCCTGTTTCCCTGAAAGCTTTTAATTTGATTTGGATTGTCCCTTGTACGAGATAGTGATCTGAGCCAGCGTCTGCTCCTCTTCTTACTTTTGTGTAGGCTGCGCCTCCACTTCTTTGAACAGTATTGAGATGAAGTCAAATTTGGTTTTTGGTTTGTCCGTCTGGTGACACCCATGTAGCCTTGTGGATATCTTTGTGCTTGTATACACTGCCACCAATCACTAGTTCGTTGAAGGCGCAGAAGTCGGCGAAGAGTTCTACATTTTCATTCATTTCTCCGAGAGCTTCTCTACCCATGATGAGTTCCCTTCCTGTGTTGTCTGATCCGAGTTTGGCGTTCATGTCTCCCATTAGTATTATAATGTCACCGACTGGAGTATTGTCCATTGTTCCCTGTAGTTGTCTGTAGAATTCTTCTTTCTTTTCGAGGTCTGCGTTGCTTGTGGGTGGCTAGATTTTCAAAGAAAGAATTAACTCGGATGTCAAAAAGATATATTGTGCAGCCCTCATACGAATCACTACCAACTCGGAGACCATATATCTTGATAGGCCTTTAGAATAGGTGAAAAGTGATATCACATTCAACTCTGCAATTAATGGCTAACGAACATTTCGCTAAATGGTTTCAGAGGCAGATTTAGTTCACGGAATCTGCTAATAGTGGAAAAGACGTCCTAGCTTTTGAAAGGTGGAAAATCTTATTAAAATGGTAAAAAAAGTAGGTATTCATGCGTTATTCAAGCTCATCTATAAGACCTGTTGTGGTAGAATCCTAGAGATCGCGGAAGCTTAATCCATCTCTATTTACATACGGTATCGTCATCATACAAATTCTTCCTGGATAGATGTCCTGACTTCCCTCCTTTTCGGTGTATTGATCACCATTCTTATTTTAGGACAAGCATAATACACTGTCCAGCTAAACTTAATCTCCTTACTATTTTGTCGAGATTCACAGCTAGAGGCAACTAAGTGTCAGATTTTAGAGTGGTTACATTTAGTACTTCCAGAGGCATTTTTGGTTGACATTACTTCAATGTCTCTCTCATGGAGTGCTTTGTGTTGCACAACATAGTTCCCTGTAACTACATTTACAGTCCGGGATTTCCACCACACCTCTTGTTTGATTTCCAACTTGTCGCGAAGAAGTATGGCAAATGACAAAGCGTAGTGTGAATTGTAAAACCCTGTGGAGAGTAGTGATTTGGATAGTATAATTTCCTACATTTTTGGAACTTTCTGAGTTCTTTTTTCTGCATCGTCTTCTGTCCTTGTATAGCTACGGACCTATGGATCACTAGTTTATTCAATGTGGCTGTCATCATTCTTGTATACTGCTGTGTTTAAAACTTTTCACCAACCTTATAGAGCCAGTAATTCCTATAATCTGGTGGACTATTTATCGACACCATCCTTAAGTGGACGTGGAAAAATTGGCTGATATGAAGCCGCTACGCCACCGAGGTCGAAGGTTTCGTGCTGATTGCCTCCAGCCATATAATAACAAACAATTGAACTGGCTCAATTCCCTCAGCCTGCAATATCTAACTGAGTAGGGTGCTGACATCGGTCCTCCAGATGTCACTGAGGCTGGAAAATTTTTCTCTAATCTAAAACTATGCGAAGCCATTAATGCTGGTGGGATGGCTCCAGAAATGTTTAAGGACGGTGTTGGCGAACCGTTGTCGCTGTTAACTA